CCCATCGGACCACCAAGTTGGTGGACTCCATGGATTCCTTTACTCCCAGCAACTCCAGGTTCGCTTTCTTCTCTGCGCCTTGGATCGTGAGCACGGCGGTCTTCAATTTGTCGTAGACGTTCCGGGAATCGGTGATGAGGCAGCCATCCACCATGGCTACGGTTCTGGACGGCTCCCTAAGGTGCACAGGATACCCCATCATCTCCGCCCACTGGTAGCGGATGTAGTAAAGAACGTCCTCGCCGTTAACTGCCGCCTGAGTCTCCGAAGAACCTGGGCTCCTGCAAACCCTGTCGATTCGGGTGGAGTGCCAGGCGATAGGACTCACAGTCCCCGCAGCGCCTTGCAGCAACTCCCTTGAAGCAGCCCCAACGAAAATCCCTTGAGTGCTCCCTCCGTCCTTTCTATTCTGACTAGCGGCATCAACCCAAGCATAAAACTGCATATCATCATCTGAGCACCTGTGCACCACCAGTTTATGGTCCTTGCGTTGCTTCGCATGATGAAGCAACTGATTGACCTGTACGATGGTAGCCACAGTTGACTTGCTGACCTCGGAAAGTAACATAGAGACCTCGGCCCCTATATGAGGACCGGTTTGTTGCGAGAACCAACTCAATCCTCCCAATAGGGCCCGAAGCTGAGTCTTCTCGCGGTCGCAAGTCTCCTGCCCAACCTGTTTTCGCCGAGTGGCACTTAAAGGAATCTCATGGAGTCCTTCAAGATATCTTGGTTGGGACATGGTGAAGCCTGACTCTGTAGTTTCAATCAGCACACCACACTGAGTAAAACAGTCCTGGTCCCAATTTCCCCAGCGAAACTTCTCCTTGATCAAACGAAGGATTTCCTGCCAACCTTTGTCACTGTCTGATCCCCCAAACATGAAATCATCAACATGACCAGTTATCATCCCTCGCACTTGACCCTCCGGTTTCCAAACCCACGCGCAAGCATCACTCCAAAGTCGGGTAAGACCTATGCTCTGCATGAACTCAGCCACAGTCTTGTACCACTCTAATGGAGCATCAACAAGTCCGTAACAGGCTCGTTTGAGCCTGGTGATGGTACCTGGGGGAAGCTGCATGGCTTCCAGGATCTCGTCACACGGAATGCAGAATAACTCATCGGGGTATGTGCGCCCTTGAAGGAACGCTCCGGAAATGTCTCCTTTTTGGATTCTCCACCGTCTGTTCGCGGCTGCTTGTAGGAATAACTGTCTAGTCTGACGAGTCATGACAGGAGCAGTAGTAGATCTATGTTCATAGCTCGGGTCTTGATAGCCCAAAAGAATGGCACGGGCCTTCGGCTTGACGCTGCCATCATCCTGTACCTTCCATGTCAATAGCCACCTCATACCAATCGCCTGTTCGCGAGACGGCTTGAGATGTGAAGGCAGAGCCTCAAAAGCTTGGGCCGAGATGAAATTCTTCACCTCAACCGCTTTCGCCGCCTTGAACTTCAACTGATCCTCTGCTGACAGCTTCCGTTCACTAACTTCCACAGCCCTTCGCTTAATCATGCCTGCCACATAAGCCGTTGCATCTTGTGCGAAGTGCTTCCACTCCTTGTCGGTGTGAGGAAGGTCGATGGCTACCTCCACAGCGGCCTGCGTATCCGTCCAGTAGCTGGTCTCTTCAGCTACCCAGGCTGCTTCTGGAACTCGCTGCCACCAAGAAACATCTGCTGCCTCCTGTACTCGAGGGCCTTGAGCGCTTTGTGTCCTCCGGAATCGACTCGGTTGGCTTGGCTCGCTCACCTCTTCTAGGTCCAGGTCGTCAGTTGGTGCGCTCAGTGGCACGGGTCGCTTCCCGCGGAGGCGGGTGCGGCTGGGTGGCACCTCTTGTGTCACGTCTTGTGCTCGGCGCCACTCTGACTCTGGGGGAATCTCAGCACTGATATCCTCGAATTGGTTCCCCCCTATTTCCGCTGTTAACCTGGAAAAAGTCCAGGGTGTCGCTGAGTCTTGCGCGAGCGAGTCCACTAACTCCTCACGGTGACTGGCCGGTCGTAACTGTTCCGGTGCACACTTCAAGAGGCTACGGCCTCTGACAAGCCACACCGCGTGGCCTGGCCTCTCTTGTCCATCCTCTGTGGACCGACTCTCCATGGCCAGCACTCTGGTCTCCATGGCCAGCACTCTGGCTGGCCCAAGAAACCTTCCCTGAGAGGTTCCTGGGTGTCTTTTGTGCTGTCCTGACTCCTGGGTCCGCCAGAAGTACACTAAGTCGCCGGGCCTGTAAACGCAAAGCTCTCTGGACCTTGAGTTCATCGCCCGGTTCACCCGTTGTTGTGCTTGCCAGTCACACAGTGCCTTTTCGGCCGCGGCTCTTCGCGCGGCTTCTTTCTTAAACTCTGCAGCTGTGTTGTTGAGGATTGGCTCCTCAACCTGTTGCTCCAGGTTTTCAATGTGTCGATCTGTCACGTCCGGGGATTGCCCCAAAACATGTTGCACTGGAGAAAAACCTCTGATCATCTCTCGCTGGTTGAAGGTTGCCACTGCCAAGCTCAAATTCTGTTCTGGGGTCAACTCAGGATCATGATCATGTAGTTTGTTCATCAGCTGTTTCACCCCTTGGATGGCTTGCTCAGCTATCCCTATCTGCCAGTGCGCCTCGCCTGGAATGACGTCCATGTAGATGCTGTGGCGGTCGCAGAAGTTCTCCACGGCCGCTGATCTGAAGCTGCCTGCCGGATCTAGTCGTAGCGTTTTGGGCTTCCCAAACACCTGTATCCATCCTTCGGTGAGGTAGTTCAAACATGTTGCGGAATTGGGAGTCTGTTTAGACCCCTTGGACAGAATCTTGGCCACACGAAATCTCGAGCCCTCATCAATCGCCAACATGAAGTTTTGTTGTTCACCACTAGAAGGACAACGCCAGTGACCTATGTCAGCAACCACAGTATGAAACTTCGGGGGAAGGGGTTCCAGGGAAGCCAATTGCCGGGGCTGCACACGCTTCCGTTCAGCACAGATAGGACACACAAACTCTTCAGCTAATCTCAACACCAGAGGATTGACGTTCCGCCTACGCAAGGCATCAATCATGTGTCTGGTGCTGCCATGACCTGTGGCCGCGTGAAGAAGATATAACTTACGTTTTATCTCCTCTTCCATCTTGGTCCCACGCTTAGCTTGACTGGTTTGCGCCACATAGCTTTGTTCACTTTGCTGTTGTTGTTCACCCTGTTTACAAGGAAACCCAGTTTGCTGCAACCACTGAAGTTCAGACTCGTCAACCTTCCGAACTCCCCGACTAGTATAACCACCCAAGATAACCCTGTCCCCTTGCCACGGCTGGGCCGTGTGCCACTGTCTGGCGTCGAAAGTCAACACTTTCTGCCGGACACTCCGTAAATGTCCACTACACGCTTGGCCATTCGGGAGGGTTTTCACACAGGACTTGTGGTGGTGGTTTGGGGGTTCTCCTTCAAGCCACAACTCACCTTGTTGGAAAGGCGTCACCCCTATGATGTGGTTCTTGGAGGTCGGGAGGTTGTTATGGCCACGATGTATGTTCACAGCACAATTGTCGTTCACAACCAAGGTACTACCCGTCACGGGATCAGGGGACCAGTGTTGAAGGTAAAGCCACAGATACCTACAGGTTTGGGGAAGTTTTCGGGTCCATCTAGTTATGCCATAGTGGTTTCCATAGGCATACACTCCCAGAATCAAATACCTGGGCCGGTTTGTCTTCAAGGCTTGTCTGGTTCGCGCGTGTTCCTGGAGAGGCAGGTCCCTAATGAGGCTAGCGCAAGCTTTGTGATGAAAGGCTTTCTGTTGGATGAGCTTTGCAGCTTGATGTTCCACAGCCTCGATTTGGCTCTCGGTGTACATGCCTTGTGCTTCGGTCCTCATCAACCCTTCATCACCCACGGCACCATCGTTGCCTTGGTCCTCTGGCCTCATGCTTCCTAGCATCCCTGCATCATCCATGGCGCCATCCTCATACAGGGTATCTAGCCTAGTGTCTTGCGACCCTTCCATTCCCATCATCACATCATCCTTGAAAACTCCTAGGCCCTGGCCCTCGGTCCCTGGTACTGCACGCCTCCCTTGGAGGCAATTCGGGCATGTCCGAGTCTTCCCTGGGACATTGACTTCTCCACAAGTACAGAACTCTCCTTCACCGAATCCCTCACACAGAAGACTTTTCCCTTGGCATTCCTGTATGGTGTCCTGAAAGGTCAACTCCTGAAGCAACACCCGGCTAACCCTTCGGGCATAAGCATCCGGATAATCCATCCCTGAACCTTCAACCTGTTCGCTTCGACCGTGGCTAGTTCCCTTTTGACAACGACACGGTAAGCCAGTCGCTTGTGCGTGGTAAGAACACGCCATCCCTTCTGAACCAAGCGACCCTCGCAATCCTTCAAGTCCACCCTACAACCCTTGGTCACCGCCTGAAACAAGCCATACTTACTCTGAAGCCTACTCAGAACCGGAAGCCTCCATGCCTCCGACCTGTCCGACAGCTCCAAAGTCACATGAACCCCCTTCTGCAAGGCATAGTGAACGATGCACGTCGCTCCTATGTATGTACGGATAGCCTGTTGGCGCTTCTCACTCAGGGCCTTATTCTGTTCCTCACTTCGTTGATTGCGGTTCTGGCTTGGGGAGAACGGGCCTCCTGGGGGTCTGAGCCACACATGCATGGGTTGTTCAGCAGCGATACGCTTCATGATCAATCGCACTCCCGCATCAGTGGCAAGCTCACAGCCATTGAATGTTGCACAGTGCGACACACTCTCATCTTGCTTTGTGTCAGCACGCACCTGTTGCAAGATGCGGCTAGCTTGTTCACTGCACTCCATCATGACAGGTCGACTGTAGCTCACTAAGTTCTGAAAAAGATTAGGCGCTACAGACCACGCCTGGGTCTCCAATGCACGAGCCTTGGACTCGCTGAGGGCCTGTGCTCTTGAGGCCTTCAACAAGTTGCTCAGCTGTTGCGAAGCACTTATATCCCTATGCTTCGGCGAACTACCTTCAGATTCACTCACTTCGGAGAAGTCTTCGCACTGGGTTCCCCATCGGAGATCAGATTGAAGGAGGAGTCGGTCATGCCCTCGTCCTCGGCTTTGGCCACGGTCTTGCGCGGCCTCTCGGACTTCATCTCCGCCACCTCGGCACGAAGCAGGGCCAATGTCTCGGCCATTGCTGCCATCTGGCGGTCTCGCTCCCTGGCATTCTTGTCCACATCCTCCGGTGCATCTCGGCTTCCTCGAGCTGCTGAACTGGACCTTCCGCCGCTGTAGCTTGTCTTCTCGGTGCCCTTGTTGGTCATCATGTAGCCCTGGGTGTTCGGCGGCTCCTTGGGCTCCTTGAGGGGGCCACTCTTTTGTCCCAGTAGCCACTTGGCCAATCTCGCAAGTCGGATGTCCACGCCATCCTCTCCGGACTCCTGGTACATCGTCACAACCCACTGCGCGTAGTCCGGGTACTGTGCCAGTATCGTCTGATAGCGCTCCTTGGCGTGCTTCCCGAACCCGACATAGTCCCCGGGCTCGGCTGGCGCCTTCGCCATGATGATCTTGAGGGCCCTGCTCTCCAGGGTCGCCATCACCTCGTTCCCGGTCGTCTCGAAGCCCAGCTTGTTGCGGCAAAACTCCACGAGCGTAGCCTTCTTGCGTGCGGCCTTCCTGAGGTCCTTGTTCCACTGCTCCATTGTTGTGAGGCTGCTGGTCTCTTCCGAATCCGCCAGCCCCTGTTCGCGTAGTTCTCGGAGTCGTTGTTCCATGTCCATCTTCGTCCAGCGAGTCGGCACATCCTCGCCAGCCATGAGAAGTTCGGCTCGCAAGCTCTCCTTGGTCGTTGTGCGGGGCATGGTCACAAGGATCTCCAGGAAGCTGGTGGGCAACTGCGCATTCACGGTTTTGATCTGAGGCAGCTGCGGTCGTTGGGTTTCCTGGCTGCTCGCTTCTGGTAGTCGTCGTGGCTTGCTTCTTTACAGACTCATTTGCTAATTGAACAGTATCCACATCCCTACCATTCACACGACAGAAAACTGCACTCCTGAACTCCAGGTGGCTGCCATGGGCAGCGGTGCTCAGAGTGTTTTTCACCCCGTGTTCCGGTGGCTCTGGTACCTTCACATCTCCTTCGGAACTAGGAGAAGGAAGGAGTTGTCCCTAGATGGACTGCTGTACATAATCCCTCAAGCTTGGGATTGCGCTTCTGGCACCCAAACTGTTCTTATAAAGATCTTCGGTTACCGGCAACAACTGGTGCCCGGTTTGGGAGCGTTCAAGAGGGATGAGCTTACTCACGTCCAGAGCCCTAAAACATACCAAATCTTCACTGAAATCGATCACCGCCTTGAGGCGCCGGAGGGTGTCCACGGAGAGGAGCAAGGGGCCGCTGCCCTGGTCGAGGCAGTGCACTGTGAGCGCACCGGGCTTTGTATCGGCCTTGATCGCCAACTGCACCGTAGCCGTGCACTTGTTGGTCTCACCATTGCCGAAGCCGAAGATAGGGCAGTCCTTCTTGTCGAGCTTCAAAAGTCCGCTGTGCCCTTTCTTCCGGTTGTTCAAAGTCATGATAGCCTCCATCGCTGCACATGACGCCAGAGTGCGAGTAGCACCCCCGTCAATCACAGCCTTGCCCTGGGAGACAGCCTCAGCTGTGCTTACCCCCTGCGCGTACGCTAGCTCACCTTCTGAGGCCATTCCACAGTGCTCTGCCACGACGTCGTTGTAGCAAATGAAGGAGGAGGTGGCGTCCACCTGCTCGGCTGCCTTGGCGGACTGTGCCCCCTGCGGTGGTTGAGGGCAGTTGGCCACCCGGTGGCCAAGTTGGCCACATCGTAGGCAGTGGATCTTGCTGTCGTCCCGAGGCTTGGGTGCGGACGACTGGCTTCCACCACCATTGGTTCGAAAGTACTGTCGTGACAATCGAACGCTGTTTTGTCGTTGTCTTGCCTCCTTCAATGTCCTCTTTGCATTGTGCATGGCTGCCATCGCTTCCTGTGCCTCGTTCTCGGCCGTCTCCCAAGTCTCCATCTCCTCGTCCGGGATGTCGCCGAGGAAGCTGTCGTTCGGGGCCTCCATCTCGCCAATCTCCTCCTCCTGGATGTCGCCGAGGTAGCTGCTACCCCGTCCTCCGAGGTCACGCCGTTGGCTGTCCAGCACCGCGCACTGGTTTCTCAATTCCTGGGCTACCCTGGCAACTGAGAAGTCTCCCTGTAGTGCTGTCTGCACCACGTTCCGCTCGTGGCCTGATAGCCCCGAGTCATGTAGCAAGTACCACCCCTGCACATAGTCGGGTAGTAGCTCAGGCATCAGAGGCTCGGGTGTCGTGTAGCCATAAGCCTGGTATGGCTGCCACGACCACTGTGAGCCCCACCATCCGGAGCTCCAGCTGCTTGACCAGCTGGACCACTGATCATCCTTCCACCTTTCTGCATCCACCTGCTGATTGTCGTCACCCTCGGGCTCGGCTTCTTGATCTCCTGCATCATAGCTGGTCCTCCGGCTCCACGTCGGCGTCCACGTCGTAGAGCTCGGGGTTGGCGTAGCCTTCGCCTTTTGCAATGGACTCACCCTCTGCAAAGCTTGGCATGCCCTGAGATAGATCTCAGATTTTCTGGAGATGTAGTCGTTGACGGTTTCGCCAGAACGGCGTCGAGAGCCCTTGAAGTAGCGGCTCAAGTGTTCTGTTAAATCCGACACTTGAGGCCTTCCCAAGCTCGCCCTCAAGTGATTTAACAGGTCTTGTACGCCTCGTCCATGTGACAACCAGCTGGGGTTCCTTCCGGAGACATGCCGCTTTGCAGCTCCGGTTAAGGCTGCAGCCAATTTCGGGCCGCAAAGATAACGTTTCTCCCAAGCAGTCCCTTGTTCCCATAACAAGCACGACTCCTCGTACTCCTGAAACGTTGCGGCATCGCCATTCCACGTGGGCGGGGCTCCTTTCCCGCCTCCGTCCTCCGTCCCGGTCATGTAGTCGACTGTAGGAGCCGTATCGCACAGTCGTTCAAGGTCCCTGGAAAAACTCTGGCTCTTCAATCACACGATGAAGCCCCGTAGGGCTCCGCTACCATGCACGCCCCGGGACGGGGTAGTGCA